GCAAATATTCGAACGATAAATGAGAATATCGCAAATTTTTGATAAAAAAAAAAGAAAGAGAGATAATAGAATTATTTTTTTTCGTATGAACCTCTTGTCGCAATTATCCTTTTAACCATGCGAGATAAACCATGCGAGAAAACGCTCTGTAAAGGGTCCTCTGCGTAGAAGTCGTAGACGATCGTGGAATCTTAAGTCGTAGGAACTGACCAATTCTAATCGAGTATTCTTCTTATGTTTGATTGTGATTGGTTGATTCTGAATTGTATATTGACAGATTGGGAAAATTACAGTAGTAATAAACAATTTTTAAATATGATTCAAAAAGAGGTAAAGAAAAATACTAAATATTATTGATAATTTTTCCTAATCATCGTTCAAAAACTTAGTTGTATGCGATTATTTTCAAGTAATTCTCATTCTGTCGCATCCGCAATGTATTTTGCTTTAAATACTATCTAATCTCGAGCCGAGAGTCCTTCTAATAAAACTGTCGCGATTCTCAGAGGATTTGCGTTTGCACTGGCCGTGTCATCGTCAATCTACATACGTGTTTCATGACGTATTAGCGTATTGCGAAACTCGAGTCGAGTTACGATGCAAGAGGATAAATAAACGTTTCCAGATCTCCGACGTAGCTGCGAGAACCTTCGCTCTTTTTAGGACTGCAACGATGACGGTTCTTGATCTCCCTACGATGCAAACAAGTCGATCGCGTGAGAGGTCCGCCTGACAAAGACGAATAATATCGATAATATTTCGCATCGAAGGCATCCTGGCCCGTCCGGATTGGCTTAAAATCGACGGGCCAGGCGCGATACGCGTGTGCTTGCATGTGTATCTCCGCGTGCGTATAAAGGCGCTCCGATCTCGTGCACCCATACGGCTGAAGATTCGTAACACGATAGTGGTCGTATGTAAAACCATCTGGTGTAAAACGAGCTGCTGGCTCGTTCGAGTATTAAATCGGGCCTCTCTTACTCTCTTTCCGACTACTTCCCTCGTGGTCCCCCTGCTACCCCCGTCGCCTGCTACATAGTCGTAGTCGTAGTCGTCGTCGTCGTCGTCGTCGTCGTCGTCGTCGTTAACTGCCGCTACTCTTTTTTTTTCTTTCTTTTCTCTATATACCGCAGCAGCACCCTTTATCCTCAACCACCACCACCTCCTTCTCTTCTTCCTCCTCCTCCTCCATCCCTTTTCCCGGCCTGTCGATCGACTCGCGCTGCATGGAGATCTTCGCGTCGAACGCGCGCGCAGAATCTGTTAAGCCGACCAGCAACAACCGCTGCGCATTCCGAGCTTAACGTCGCAACGCGCGCCAAATGAACTCGTTAACGTTCACGTGTTCGATGCCCGCGAGTTGGCTTCTCGGCCGCTTCTCGACCAAGCGTGTCTCTTCCTATTAAAATCCACGCGTTTATTGGGCCGACCAAGGAGTCGCGGAATGGGAAAGAGATCTCTCGATTGCGATATCAATCGCTCGTTGCGTGATGAATGAATCATAGACTATCGATATGAAAACCAATGTATGAAAAACAATTAAAAGATCTGTATCAAATTGATATTGATATCGCTCTATTCTTTATCGATGAACTCTCTAAATTAGTGCACACGATGATGTAATGAGTTGAAACGTAACATATTATTTCTTTAACTTGAACTTATTATTCCTTGTTCACTAGTTCAAAGAGTTTTTTGATCAAGAACATTGGCGGATTCAGAAATTTGTCAAAGAGAGCGTCATTGACGTTTCACAAGCGAAATTTTTTAAAATCAAATATGAAATGATAGAATATTGAGATTATTATTGACATTAGACTGTGAAAAAGTATTATTTCAATATATTAGGTGTTGGAATTAATTCGTAGCGTTTT